CCGGTACCCCTAGGGCACACAGCCAAAGAGATGGCCCCACTGGGAAATTACGAAGAATACCCAAGTTAATGAAACAAATCAGTGTCCCTATAGAGTCCTATGCATCATCGGTAAGGCAGTCAGCGTAATATTAGCCCAGAGAATGGCTAACAGACCTTTCAGAGAATTAAGCACTCAATATTTTTCAAGGGTTACAGAGCTTCAACTTGCATCAGTGCAATCAATAAGACTTTTGTGTGGAAAACTGAAAATTATGTGATGAATTACTGCGTCGCTTGCTAGGTTTCGGGGTCCTAAATCTTTTGTGTTTTAGAAATTAGTATTATCTCTTGACAGATAATTGATACTTTATTTCTACTCTCTTTTAAGAATTCAAGTTTGGGGATTTATTTTGTGTGTCGAATCATATGAATGTAGGATCCTGATTCTGTCCAATGTTACCATGGTAACAGTTTCATTGTAATCCTAATAAAGGGTAGGAACGTGACTGAAGTTGTAGAAATACCCCTCTTCATTCTTTTAGTTGTATTTTTTAACATTAATTTTTGTTGTTAAGTAACTAATACCATGAGTATTTTGAATTATGAACAAGGAATGTGCATATTCTTTTCCCGCAACTGTAAAAGTTTCTCCCTGCTTGGTGTATACCAGCGGTAGAAACTAACAGTTTTAGTCCACTATTCTTTAAAATGATAACATATAGTAAAACCCTTAAAAAAGGCAAATTTCTACTCGTCCTTAGGATACCTTAACTATTGGGCAGTTTGGCAAGGACTAGAGGACTAGCACCAATTTCTAACACTGTATATTTGACTGTTTTGCATGTCTTCTCTACTTTGATTGTGTGTTGGTGTAATCTTGGTAAACTATTTGGGACGTGATGTGGGTGTATTCTTCGCCAGGTTGACTGAGTGTAATCTGATATGCAGATTGTCCCGAGATGTCGCTGTCGATCAGATGAAGTCTTTTTAAGAACTGACTCTGAAAGGTCGCTATTCAGTAGAATGATACATGACTTTGTGTGCTTAATTTGTCAAAGCTGTGACAAGCACGGTCAGATTTTTCCTGATTTTGTCGACACGGGACAGTACTTATTGCCTCAGTTTAAGTGATGCTTTCAGCCACAGTGTATTCAGCTGCAGCCATGCGACAGTCGGGCACAAACGCTGCATTTCACCTTATGCCGTGCAGTGAAATGTGAAAATGTTCGTCTGACATTGTTCAACGGTGCAATCCGACATTTGATCACTTGTCAATGTTCAGTCATGGGCATGCATGCTAATGTATTCATTTCTCGGTAAGATGTGTGGACAATGAAATCAAACTTTGTAAAAATGTGCCTCCCAGAATCACAGCCGCGATCCATTATAGGTGATGAAGTTTCCGATCAATTTAGCAAAGCTGACTGTCGCTCGTTGTGATAGTGGCGCCCTCTGCCTGCTGCGTCACATTCCATAGATCCCTAATCCCTCACAGTCGGAAGACACGTGCAGTCCCCTTTGCCTACAGCTAGCCATTCAGAGAGCTAGTCCTTTACAACAAGACTCAAAGCCATTGGGGCTCCTAGCTTCACAAACATAATTTGCAGTCTCAGTTTGTTTGCTTCCTCGTTGTCAATCATGGAGAGGGTCCAACCAAGCGCGACTGACAAATTTATCCAACTGCTTCAGCTATTGTTGCTTCGTAAGACGTCGTCGTCTGGTCATTTCATCCCGGTCACCCTTTGCCTTTGGCTGTGGCAGTAATTACGATCTCTCACACTTAAGAAGAAGGGATTGTCCAGGAATTTCCTGACTGAGGAGAAGGTCCAGCATCCCTTTGCTGTGATCCCTCAGCCAATCATTCTCCATCTTGAGGAATTACACCTCAGCAAACCAATGTCCCTCGATCCAGGAGGCTAAATACAGGCGTCTCGTCACTCCGAGGCAGACAATTTGATCAATGGGACAACACAACCTGAGATTTGAAATCAATTCGTAAAAGCCAGGCTGGTCGTCAGTTGTTTCGTGTTGGAGAGGTATTGATAAATATAAACCCTGCAGGCAGCTCATTATGTCTGGACAGACGCGGAGAGGTGACATCGTGCCAGAAATGGAAGGCCTCACAATGACATTTGGAAGATGAGGGGCTTTGGTGGGGTTGCAGTAAGGACAGCCATAACCTGATCTAATGGCATACGTCGCCATATCATGCAAATAGTCATCTGTTTGTGGTATAAGAACATGTTTACAGGGTTAGACATCTTTGTCATTTACAAATAGTCTGCAGCTGCATATTGGACTGGCAGTTTAATAATAAAATAACTCCATTTTGTGAGAAAACAACTAGCCCTTTTCGATTTTCACTGGTCTGGGGCGGTGTCTCACCCTGGTTTGGATAGACCAATATATGTCGTAGCCATGACCACTGACAGTTAACACTTTGATTATAAAAGATTTTATTCAGTGATTTCAAAATGGCTGCACATTTTCAATCAAGTTGTAAATGTTTTTTACTGTTCCACTTCATAAAGCTTGGCAGTTTATAGTATTTATTCAAACATGTCTTCTCACTCATTCACTCATTCACTCACTCACTAAACTCACTCATTCACTCACTCACTCATTCACTCACTCACTCACTCACTCACTCACTCCTGTTAGACCTCATCTGTCTGTAAAAATTATTTTCCAGCGCTCAGCTCAGATAACATTCAATATTATTCCACAAAACTTGACTCGCATATATCAACCAAGTGTTGAAGGCCTTCAAACCAAATAAAAACTACTTTTGAAATTTAAATTTTTGGCATTTCCATTTAAACAGGATGGTTGTGGAATCAATTTTAAAGTTGAGTGCTTCCGGACTCAAGAGAAAGTCTGTTCAATGTTTTTTCACAAAACTTTGCTGAGTGCTAGGGGCTTGTCTGTCATCTGATGATGGCTACAGTTAAGCCTGTGAAGGACAGCATCATTACTTCAAGTAGCTGAGCATCATGAGAACCTACAAAGGTCTGTTATCACCCGACCATTCAACCCCTTACACTGATCCCCTTTTTGGAAGGGATCTATTTCCTGAAAGAAGATCACACTTTGTTAATCCCCACTGACCTGTAGCCTAGTGCCCCCTCCACTGTATTCATACACCAAGGTCAAGAGGTCGGGGTTCACATGCAGAATTAACAAGGTCAAACCCTTAGTAACTGATGAGGTATCTTAACTCTGAAGGGGGAGAAGCACCCCCTCTATGACTTATTGAAAAATAAATTGTCATTTGGATTGAAGTTATTGTAATTCTTGAAATTTTTCATCTTCATTTTATGTTGATTTCTAAAGTATTGTCAAGAATTTCTTTGATGTCTTTTGGAAGGATATGTGTGTCTCACATCTTCCTGTCCAGGGATTAGTTAAGAAAGTTTATGGTAGATAGCATGTTCCCAACTCTTTGATCTGTGTCATGTTTGATCATATCTCCCCGTGTGAATGGTGAGAGTGTATGGTAGGTAGGGAACACGTACATGAGGGTGCCGACCCCCCTCACCGGAATCACGGACACTACTTTAAACAAATTCAGAATGTCAGAATGCACTCTACATACACTAAAATTAAAATATACAGAACCCATTTCTAGGTCATAAAAGACTGCAATTAGGATTACGGCAAAAAATATCAAGAGAAAAAATGAAACGTAATGGAATATTTTTACGTTCATCTTTATTTGTTGATTCTGCATACCATTTTATTTGCATGGCATGTACCACACTGTTCATCTTCCCGAGGCAAGGGTGTTAACTGACTTTAAAAGTCCAGTTTCCACCCTTGAAGAACGAAGCTGACGCGAGTCTATGCATAGCCCAATTAAAATCTCGCAAAAACCTAGACATCTGGTTAGTAAACAATGCTTTAGAGGATTTGCAAAGCATGTGTACTGCCAAATGGGCGTCCACACATATTTTCCAAATCTTTCTATCTTTTTAATCAAGGTGCTCAAATGATTTGATGCACTTTGCTGGGTAAGACCCGTTTTATCAATATATAACTTGATTATCAATCAGATCATCTTGACTGGGCGCAGCCATTTTGTTTGAAGGAAATGCAAGTGATGTGAGAGGTAGAAGAGGGGATTGGTCAGTAGGAGGGACATAGAAGGGATATAACTTGTAATCACCACTTGTGGCGCTATTTTCGAGCCACGAAATTCCAGCCTAGTTCGGCAAGGTTGGAAACTGGTATATTTTTAATCAGTTAATACCCATTTTGTGCAATCAGATTTGTGTTTATTCCTGCCGAGTCTGAAAACCCCTATTTAGAAATAAAATATATCACAAATTGTTTTCATATCTGTCCCGACAAGAGATAGTCTCTCCATGCTCCACGACCCACAAAACCTGCATGTTTTGCAACAGGAGGTGGCCTGATGTAGCTTTATTTATACTCTCAGCAATGTGTGAGTTGTTTCTCAAAAAAAAAATCCATAAAACAACTAATATAAAAAAAAGGCCTAAGCAATGTTTGCTTCATGATGGTCATGATGGTGGAAGGTCCATATTTTGATGGATTCTACCAGAGTTGGTTATTGGGCAGTGACTCGTGAATGAATGACAGTTAGGTTTGATAGCCTGTATGATATAACTATATGATTCATGCAATCAGGAAATAATTGACATTCAAGGGGATTGGTGTCATGGGTTTTTGTCTGTCGTCCATTCATGCATGAGTCTAATGACAGTACAACCAGCATTCTCCCTAAATGCACTACTCATAACAGTTTCACAGAAATTATTGTTCCAAAGTTCCACAAAAAAATAAGGTGTTTACATTTGAAAAATTTAAAATGGCTGAAACAGTAACAACTGACAGATTTTGTGTAATGCATGTAATTTGCTCGAACCAAAAATTGATATACGAAAAACAAGTTCTAGGCCTTTTCAGCAAGATCAGTGTTGTAACGGACAATATTCATATGATCTCCTGTTCAGCATAACGAATGTGGTAACAATATTCATTTGATCTCCATTTCAGGTTGTCAAGATCATCCGACCAAGTGAAACGGCCGGGCGATACGTCAGTTATCGACTTGTTGTTTGATGTATACAGATTGTCATCCTGAACAGTTGTTTCAACATTGTTTGTCTCTAATGTGCAAAAGAGGACATGTGAGTGTACCAAATGACACAGAATGAAGATCAGCTACACAAGTAACGATGACGTTGTCTGTATAGGACCTGGAGGTTTCGTGAAAGGTGGCCATCGAGCGGTATCGCTTGAGTTATCCATATTCCATGTTTCATATCTCATATCTCATGTGTCATCCATATTCCGTGTTTCATATTGCTCTCATGGTGTTTGCAAAAGCAGGCATAGCTGATGATTTCTCTTGAAGCACAATGTGAAGATGTTGTACAGTGTTGCCATACTCGGCCTTAGAAATTGAGTATTTGTTTGAGACTAGTCCTGGTCTAATACAAAACCTTATTACACTTGTGTACTAGACTGATATGTAGTAAATTTAAAAACTGGTAAAGAGCAGAGACTTGTTGCCCTCAAATGTTACACATGATTGTGCCCTTACATTCAATTGTTTGTTGTCTTCAGGACAAGAATATAGTCTTAAGCAAGCACGTGACTGTGGATTTCGAAGGCTTATACTGTTACCAAAAGCAGTTAAAAGGGGGTCCTGGTGTCCTTGGAGCTTGCTCCAATAGTGTATTCATCTAGGGACCCACATCTGTTAACATTAGAATTATGACAAGGACTCCTCAACTTTCATGCTATATTTTAAACACTGCTCAAGGTCAGGACTAAGGGTTCTCATACCATGAAGATAGATGTACATTGTGTCTGTATGAAGAGATAGATGTACATTGTGTCTGTTTGAAGAGATACATGTACTCTGTTATGTGTATGAAGAGAATCTTACATTGCCTTGCAACTGCTGTTCCATTACCTGCAATAATGGTAGTTGTAAGGGTTAATAAAATCATGCATTTTGTAGATTGAGTTTGTTTTATTATATTTGTCATCTTCGGTCCACACGCCATGGATTTATGTTCTGACGACATCCATGTTACCCAAGGACATGCATATCTCCACTGGGTTTGAGGAAGTATTCTGAAGACATGACTTCGGACTTTAGTTCCCTGAAATACACTGGGTTTGAGGGAGTGTCCTGATGACATGACTTCGGGCCTTAGATCCCTGAAATACACTGGGTTTGAGGAAGTGTCCTGATGACATGAATTTGGTCCTTAGTTCCCTGAATTACACTGGGTTTGAGGATGTGACCTGGTGACATGACTTCGGACCTTAGTTCCCTGAAATACACTGGGTTTGAGGAAGTGTCCTGAAGACATGACTTCATCCAGTCGTTCCCTGAAATACACTGGGTTTTCCCCCGTGAAGATCCCCATGCTTGCTGTAAAAGGCGACTACGCTTGTTGTAAGAGGCGACTAACAGGATTGGGTGGTCAGGCTCGATGACTTGGTTGATGCATGTCGTTTCCCAATTACGCGAATGGAGGCTCATGAAATTAATCACTGGATTGACTGGTCCAGACTCGATTATTTACAGATCGCCATCATATAGCTGGCATATTTCTGAGTGCTGCGTTAAACAACTCACCAACCAACCAACCAACGTGAAGACATGACCTCGGACCTTAGTTCCCTGAAATACACCTGGTTTGAGGAAGTGTCCTGATGACATGACTTCGTACCTTAGTTCCCTGAAATACACTGGGTTTGAGGAAGTGTCCTAATGACATGACTTCGGACCTTAGTTCCCTGAAATACACCTGGTTTGAGGAAATGTCCTAATGACATGACTTCGGACCTTAGTTCCCTGAAATACACTGGGTTTAAGGAAGTGTCCTGATGAAATGACTTTGGACCTTAGTTCCCTGAAATGCACTGGGTTTAAAGAAGTGTCCTGATGACATGACTTCGGACCTAAGTTCCCTGAAATACACTGGGTTTGAGGAAGTGTCCTGATGATATGACTTTGGGTCTTAGTTCCCTGAAATACACTGGGTTTGAGGAAGTGTCCTGATGACATGACTTTGGGTCTTAGTTCCCTGAAATACACTGGGTTTGAGGAAGTGTCCTGATGACATGACTTTGGGTCTTAGTTCCCTGAAATACACTGGGTTTGAGGAAGTGTCCTGATGATATGACTTCGGTCCTTAGTTCCCTGAAATACACTGGGTTTGAGGGAGTGTCCTGATGACATGACTTCGGACCTCACTTCCCTGAAATACACTGGGTTTGAGGAAGTGTCCTGATGACATGACTTTGGGTCTTAGTTCCCTGAAATACACTGGGTTTAAGTTAGTGTCCCTGAAATACACTTGGTTTGAGGAAATGTCCTGATGACATGACTTCGGACCTTAGTTCCCTGAAATACACTGGGTTGGGGAAGTGTCCTGATGACATGACTTTGGACCTAAGTTCCCTGAAATACACTGGGTTTGAGGAAGTGTCCTGATGATATGACTTTGGGTCTTAGTTCCCTGAAATACACTGGGTTTGAGGAAGTGTCCTGATGACATGACTTTGGGTCTTAGTTCCCTGAAATACACTGGGTTTGAGGAAGTGTCCTGATGACATGACTTTGGGTCTTAGTTCCCTGAAATACACTGGGTTTGAGGAAGTGTCCTGATGATATGACTTCGGTCCTTAGTTCCCTGAAATACACTGGGTTTGAGGGAGTGTCCTGATGACATGACTTCGGACCTCACTTCCCTGAAATACACTGGGTTTGAGGAAGTGTCCTGATGACGTGACTTCGGGACATAGATCCCTGAAATGCACTGGGTTTGAGGGAGTGTCCTGATGACATAATTTCGGACCTTAGTTCCCTGAAATGCACTGGGTTTGAGGGAGAGTCCTGATAACATGACTTCGGGCCTTAGTTCCCTGAAATACACTGGGTTTGAGGGAGTGTCCTGATGACATAATTTCGGACCTTAGTTCCCTGAAATGCACTGGGTTTGAGGGAGTGTCCTGATAACATGACTTCGGGCCTTAGTTCCCTGAAATACACTGGGTTTGAGGGAGTGTCCTGATGACAGGACTTCGGACCTTAGTTCCCTGAAATACACTGGGTTGAAGGAAGTGTCCTGATGACATGACTTCGGACCTTAGTTCCCTGAAATACACTGGGTTTGAGGAAGTGTCCTGAAGACATGACTTCGGACCTTAGTTCCCTGAAATGCACTGGGTTTAAGGAAGTGTCCTGATGACATGACTTCGGACCTTAGTTCCATGAAATACACTGGGTTTGAGGAAGTGTCCTGATGACATGACTTCGGGCCTTAGTTCCCTGAAATGCACTGGCTTTGAGGAAGTGTCCTGATGATATGACTTCGGGCCTTAGTTCCCTGAAATACACTGGGTTTGAGGGAGTGTCCTGATGACATGACTTCGGACCTTAGTTTCCTGAAATACACTTGGTTGAAGGAAGTGTCCTGATGACATGACCTCGGACCTTAGTTCCCAGAAATACACTGGGTTTAAGGAAGTGTCCTGAAGAAATGACCTCGGACCTTAGTTCCCTGAAATGCACTGGATTTGAGGAAGTGTCCTGATGACATGACTTCGTACCTTAGTTCCCTGAAATACACTGGGTTTGAGGTCACAGTGATGTTGAACACTTGCTGACTGCGGCAAAGAACATTCACTCTCACCAGTTGTCCCTGTGCAACAACATAATCAGGTAATAATAGTAAGACACAATCATGTTACAAATATAACACTTTAACACATCTTAAGAATTCACCACCATGAGTTCAAGTTACAAAGACCTATTTTCAGTGAGAAATGTACAGTGACAGTTAGATCTATTTGATGCCGCCACTGTAATATGACGACAGACAATTACGACGTGACAGGTGACGCCGTGTCCCTCAGACTGGCCAGCTGACTTGTACGTTTTGTACAAGATAGTTGCAGATTCCATGAAGAGAAATGATAATATTTTCTGTATATCGGTAGGGTTTCTTCGAATTTGGAATGTAATTTCTTATAATATTTCAGTTTCAAAGCATCTTTCAAATTCAGCTAGTTATTTGATAATGCTACAAAGAACACTGTAATACATGAAACGATTCGTATTTATTTAGATTATTCATACAAAGCAAAAAGTATGTATTAAAATACTGTTTTCTTGTTCCAATGCTATAGGGATGAAAGATTGACAGCCCTGTTAGTTCTTCATAATGGTGCTTGTTGGCGATACCCCGAAGGTAATCCTGGTATATATCATGTAGACAACGTCATTAATAATAAACACAAGGATTGAAAGATCAATTGTAAAAACTCTCAAATGCATAAATATTTTATAAATTTTCAGAGCTGATTGCTAGGTTGAAGCTACCTCGCTATATACTGCCCCATTACAGGGGTATTTTTATCTTTCATGATACACAAAACTAATAATTCTAATAATATGTGAAGCCTTAATAGAATGTCATATCTGATTACCCCAAAGTAGTAAATTTTCAAGTACAGTCAGACACCGTTGTGTCGAAGGTGATGGGACCTGCGTAAATACTTCGAGTTATCCGTGGTTCGACACAACCAAGACTGCAGTCGGCATACATTTACCGATAGGCATGAAGAATGAATAACACGAAAACATATGTGACAATAAACAAATGAAATAAATGTCGACTTATCAGAGTAAAGCTGTGCGGGAAGTACATGTTTGAGACTGGAAGATAACTTCGAGACATTCTTCGACACATCCGATTCGACACATCAGGTCAAGCAATGGGGAATATAGAAGGAATACGCAGGGGCCAACTTTTACTTTGATACAACTGTGTTTGACATATTACAGGTCAACACAAGGATGTTTGTGTATTAACGAGTTTGTGGAATAGAACTGAGAATACTTCAAGAATGTGGTTGTATTTGACAAAGATGAACAGACAAAGACACTGGTCAGTGTCGGCACGTTCGCGCCACACAGTGTGCTGTAGTTATTTTATAGTGTTAATTTGGAATATGTATGCCAATATTGGGAATATATACATCTAATGTCACATTGATGCCATGCGGCCTTATTACTGTCTTTAAAACAGTGGGATTCCAGCTTAGAGTTGATTCCCAGGAACTTAGCTTGTCAAGAGACGGCTTAGTGGATCAGGTGGTGATTGGTGTCATGATTGTTAATATCAACAATAGGATTGTCTGGTCTGGTTGATTATCAATCTGACATCATTTAGCTGAAATATTACTGAGTGTTGCGTTAAACAACAAACAAATTAAAAATCGGTATTCGGTAAAGGGCTCGCCTCACACAAATACCCCCATGTCATACTGCAATACTAACTTGATGCTGCCGTCGTTTTAATGATCAAGTATACTGACAACAATATCTCTCTCTCTCTCTCTCTCTCTCTCTCTCTCTCTCTCTCTCTCTCTCTCTCTCTCTCTCTCTCTCTCTCTCAGAATTAGATGCTGATTTAGATTGCAAATACTTTGATATCATAACCTGCTGCTGTCCAGGGCTGTATGCCACTCGTTTTCCTGGCTGAGGCGAGTCACATTCACTCACTCACGCACGCACTCACTCACTCACTCAATGTAGGAGCTGAAAAACCAGGGAATGTTTGTATAAGGAAATCAGCTGTGGCAAATTGACTTTGAGAAGTCAGTTGATGACCTCTGCATGTCCAGGCCAGATATAACAGCTGTAGTCTGCCTAGTCTGACAGAACAATAGCCCCAGTAATTTCCCACAGCACACATCAAACACTTAAATAGCTGGCAAACCAGAACAAAGCTGTATAATAAGTCGGGGTGAATAATGCTGCTGTGACTTAAACTGACATTTTGACTTGAACGGTGGTAAGTCCTTAATCCATTGCTACCAAGCTCATGTGCAACTTCTCTGGGAGGGATGAGGTGATGCAGAGACAGGGTGTCCTGACAATAGTGAGTGAGTGAGATGGGTTTAACCCCGTTTTTTAACAGTGTTCCAGTTATATCACT